CACACACACACACACACACACACACCCGGATCACTGGGGAATAAACAAAGGTATTTGAGCAAAGAGAAGGGAACGTTATCCAGGGAAGAGGCTGTACTCAGTTCTCTGGCTTGCTTGTCTTCTGCAGGTGCATCTCCGCTCTGCCAGACGTCTCTGTGAGCTCTGCTGTGCCAACCGGGGCACCTTCATCAAAGTGGGCCAGCACCTGGGGGCTCTGGATTACCTGCTACCAGAGGAGTACACCAGCACGCTGAAGGTGCTGCACAGTCAGGCCCCACAGAGCAGCATGCGAGAGGTCCGCCAGGTCATCCGTGAAGACCTGGGCAAGGAGGTACCCACCTCTCTGGGGCAGGGAGGGCCCAGAACTAAAACTGTGCTTTTAAAAAAGGCTCTGGCTGGGTGTGGTGGTGCACACCTTTAATCCCAGCACTTGGGAGGCAGAGGCAGGCAGATATCTGTGAGTTCGAGGCCAGCCTGGTCTACGTAGTGAGTTCCAGGCCAACTGGGGCTACAGGGAGACCCTGTCTCAAACACCAAAAAAAAAAAAAAAAGGCTCTGGAGGTGTTTTTGCTGCCTGGACCCATCACTGGTGCAGAACTAGATGTCACAGCAACCTTCAGTGCCAATGCAGATGCTAGAAGGAACTTCTGACAGTTAGTAAAAAAATATTGCTTGAAATATGAAATGTTCCTATTTGATTGTGTTGGCTGGTCATCTAGTGTGATTTAGACAGTGCAGCCTAATACTGCCTGTCGGGTCCTGAGGGTTTACTGCCTACTGACAATGGTGCTGTGTGTCACACTCACATTTAGTCCTCAGAGCAAGTGCGAGGTGAGAACTGTGACTGACTCCATTTTTCAGATGTGGGATGGAGGCTTTGGTGGCAGTCCCACGTCCGAGGGCACTGCTGCTAAGTGATTGCAGCATTGTAGGATACCATCAGCAGACTATCCAGGAGTTCACTGCTTTGGCTCTTCTGGAGCATCTCTGGTAGACACCTGTCCAGCCTGCTTGACCCTTCCAGGGATGGAAAGCCCACTCTTTCATCATCCTCTTTGGTGATCCATTCTGTTGTCTGTGGTCCCCAACTCTAAGAAGGCTTCCCTACAAGCACTAGAACTGGCCTCCTCAAATCTCCTTTTTGCTTCTTCATCCCATACCCTGGAGTGGCAGAGGAAGGAGGGAAGGGCCTTTGTTGCATTTCTTTATTCTCACACTGGGGACCTCAAGGGTGTCGTTTTTGTAACACTCTGGGCACAGTTGCTTGGACCTTCACTGGCCTGTTCTTGTCACCATTTCTTGATACAGAGGAGGATTGGAGCAGCCATCTGCAGGTGCCTGAGCAGCAGGTCAGGCCCAACCTTAAGACCTATGTGCTGCGATTTGAGTATCCCTCAGGGATCACTACTAAATCCTTATTCCCCTCACTTGGTGCTGTCTGGCATTCTCTTAGATTAACCCATGGGTCTTCTAGAGCTTTCTGAGCAAAATGATCCAGCCTTCAGCAGCTGATGTCTTTTCTGAGGTTAGTTTGCAACTCTTTACGCCTCCTAGTTGCTTTTCAAATAAAATCCCGGGAGCTGGAGAGATGATTCAGTGCTTAAGAGCACTTTTTGCTCTTCCACAGGACCCGAGTTTGGTTCTCAGCACCCCATGGCTCACAACCACCTGTAATTCTGGCTCTAGGGGATCTGATGCCCTCTTCTGGCCTCCTTGGGTACCCCCACACATATGGCATATACTTACACAGACACAGACATACAGACACACACGAACAGACACACAAGACACACAGACACAGATACACATACACATATATAAAGTAAAAATAAAATCCTTAGTAAGATTTTGAGGCACACTCCACCTGATCCCTACCTCCTACTTGTTTCATAGGAGACCTGGTGACTAGAGTTTGGACCCTGAAATCAAGGCCTTGAACCTAGCACAAATTATGTCCTCTTGGTACCTCATCTCATCTATAAAATGAGGAAGACCGTAGAACCTCATAGGGTTGGCATGAAGATTAGAAGGGTGAATGGATAGCAAATACTGTGATGGCAGTCATGTCCTGTGCTCTGGTCATCCTGCACTGCTCCTCTCCTCTCATCATGTGCCCTAAGCCTTCAGTACCTGGGTCCATTCCTCCCTCTGCTTGGAATGCCTTTACTTCTTTCTCTCCAGGCTAGTTGTCCTCCTGTCCATCTATCTAGCAAATGCCAGGCAGGGTGCTAGCTGCTAGTATCCTGTATAAACTGCAGTTCTCCTGGGAAGGCCTTGGCCTCCCTAGACCACCTGCATCAAATTCTGATTAACTTTGTACCTTCCATGTGTGGTGCTGTGAATCAGTTGAATCAGGCTATTCCACTGTAAAGCAGAAAATCTTTGGGGATGAAGGCTGTGACAGTCCTATTTCTCTGGACCTGTAGTACCAGAACAGTGAGGTGTATAGTAGGTACCAGTGTTTGTTTAATGGGCAAATGAGCTTCCTTAGGTTATGCAAGGCAGGGCTGAGCGTAGGAGTAGAGGTTTGATAAAGGCCATTCTCATTTTTACTGATGTGTGTGGAGCTGGTATTAGGTATCCAGCATCCGGTCTAAGAGGCCCTGCTCCTTAATGATGGCCTCAGTGATGACCTGGTCTAGAGGAAGGCCTCATGATCTGACTCTGTTGGGGTCTGAGTCATGCCAGAGGTGAGCACAGGTGCCTTAAAGACTTCCTTGCTCTGAGCAACATTTCCTTCAAAAGGAGAGAGAGGGAATGAGAGGCATATTTGATTTAGGGCTGGAGTCAGGGAGCAGGCCAGCAGGAGCAGGGTTCAGATAGAGGAACCCCAGGCAGCAGGGATAGGATTGGCAAGGTGCTGGCCTGCTTGCCGTTGCTTCTTGCCGAGACTCTTGGCTTCCAACAGTGTAGGATTCATCCCCAAGTCAAAAAGAAACAACTCAGTGTAATAACGGTGCTAAGAGCATCATTGCTGGCATGTGGCAGCTCAGCGGGGGTGGATGTGAGGGACGGGAGGCAGGAGGAGATTAACCATTGGAAGCACCTGGAGAGGGGGTTGGACAAGAGCCTGTCTCTGGCTCCTTCCAAGCTAGGGCAGAGTAAAGTGAAAAGTTAGGGTGTCAGTAGTTGTGGTGGGCCTACCCAGCTGACCAAAGGCTGTCTAGGGCTGGAAGTTGTCTCCTCCATCTTCAGGGTGTCTTCTCCAGCCTCCTCTAACCAAGTAGTCCTAAGCCATGTGGCTGTGTGGCTCCTGCTCGTTTGTCTGGAGTCTTCTGAGAAAGTGAAGGTGCCACCAAGGTCACATCACTGCTGGGAAGCTTAGAAACCTCTGATTTTACCACAGCCTTCATAGGTACCCAGTCAAAGGCTTCCCTTCCCCCCTTCCTCCTCCTCCTCCTCCTCCTGCCTCCTGGGAGGGTGGCATTTATTCCTTGGTGACACAGTACCCAGTCAAAGGCTTCCCTTCCCCCCTTCCTCCTCCTCCTCCTCCTCCTTCTGCCTCCTGGGAGGGTGGCATTTATTCCTTGGTGACACTCTCTTTCATCTGTGGGTGGAGGGAGGGGAAAAGGGGTTGTGTGGGAAGCAGGGTAGGTGAGTATGGGGGTGTGAGGGTGGAGGAAATCACTCACTTTGTACTCCCTCCTCCCCCAGCCCTCCTTGTGACACTGCTTGGGAAGAGCTTTTTCTTCAAGGGCGGTACTGGGGTGGGCTGCTTTAATCCGTGCTACCCCCAGTAGTAGGCCCTTCTGAGGTAACAGGCTTCACCCCTGGTTTCCAGAGCATGGTTGGGAGGGGCCGACTGTCCTGCATCATTGTCTTTCTGCGTCTGAGGTCATTCCAAGTTCAAAGACTATGTGAGTGCTCCCACTTCTCAGACTGCAGGCAGGGGTAGGCAAGAATTTAGGGTGCTATTTCGGGCCTTATTGCTCAAACCATGTGTCGCTTCAGGATCCTTCCCATCCACAGAGGCCTTAAAAGTCACTTGTACACTCAAATTCCCTTCTTCCCCCTCCTCTCCCTCCCTTCTCCCTTCCTTTTTTTTTTTTTTTTTTGAGACAGGGTCTCCCTGTAGCCCCAGCTGTCCTGGGAATGGCTATGTAGACCAGGCTGGCCTCGATCTCACAGAGATCCTCTTGGCTCTGCCTCCCAAGTGCTGGGATTATAAAGGTGAGTTGCCACCATGCCCAGCTTAAACCAGTTCTTGTTCCAGGCTGTTGGGACTGGCTCTGGAGGGTGTCCCCACTATGGGGATGGGGGGTGGTTTCAGATGGAAGTGGCAGCACCTTTGGATCCTGAACCCCATGATTACATTTGGTTCCAGTTCAGTCCTAATCCCTGGATATTAGCTGGTACCATCAGTGTAGAGAGGCCATTGAAGGACTCCATCCTTGTATAAGGACTTGCTTAATGGAGTGCTGGGTGCCACTTGGCTAAGTGAGGGACAGCATCTAGTGATAGAATGAGGCCCAAGAACTGGCCTCTAAAGGAAGCGACCTCAGTCTGCACTGGATTGAAGGTGCTTTCAGCTCTGTTCCCTAGCTGTCCCTAGGGCCACAGATCCAAGTGCAGTACCTACCTTGGCCAGCAGATGGCACCCAAGTTTGCAAATCAGGGATGAATACTGGCCCTTCTCTGCAGAGAGGTGCCCTGATGAGGATGAAATTCAGGCTCTTTCCATTCTTGGGCATGGTCCAAGGAGGCCAGGCTGACATCTCTTCACCATGAATGGGGCAGCTTGAAGTCATGAGAAGCTGTTGACTGCTGCTAAACTTTGGATAATTGTCCTCCAAAGGTCTCTGTGTTAAAGGCTTGGACCATCCATTTGAAAGACAGAGGAACCTGTAGTAGGAAGGGCCAAGTCAGAGCTTCCTTCGCCACTGGGAACTGTAATAATTATTTTCTTGTTTCTGTGACCTGACAAGAAGCAGCTTAAGAAAGGAAGGATTTGTTTTGGCTCGCAGTTCTAGGGTGCAGTTCATTGTGGATGGGAAAACAGGTGGCAGGCGTGGGAAGCTGCTGGCCACATTGCATCTGTAGTCAGGAAGTGGAGGGCAGTGAAAGCTGCTGGCAGCTCTCCTTCTCCCTTTTATTCAGTCTGGGATTCCAGCCCTTGGGATGGTGCTGCCCACATTTAGGGTGGCTCTTTTCACCTCAGTTAACCCAGTCTAGAGAATTCCTCACAGACATTTCCATCATGATTCTAAATCCCATCAAATTGACAATTGAGATTAACTATACAGGGACACCCTTAAAAGGGATTGTTGGACCCTGGCACTTTCCTGTCTGTCCCATGCTTCTTGGTTACGAGGCAAGCAGTTTAACACATGC